GGAAGCACATTTAATAGCCAGCAATTATATTTATGCAAGAAATTTTGCCTTCTCAGCAAAAGAAATAGAGAACCTATTTTATTAGAGATGTGACAAACCCACATTTTCAATAGTTCTGTGACAAACATGTAATTGGTCTTGGTATTTGCTGACCACAGAATAAAATAAATCTTAATGAGAGAAAGCAATCTGGGCAGCAAAATACAGTTTTGCCACTGGGAAAGACCAACAGGAGAGAGTCTAAAGTAATGTAAGGATGACTGGGAAAGGAGATGCAGTCAGCATGTTCTGGGGCTGCATGAAGATGCCCCCAGAGTACACTTCACATCACAGTTAGACACCAATGATTCTGATTTTCTTCTCTTTTCCTTCAGAAATATCATTAAAAGAAAAATAGCATAACTTACGTGAGAAGATGTGATCTTTAATATCAATACACTGTAAAAGTATTTTTTTAAACATCTGAGCAACTGCCAAACAGCTACAATATTTGAAAAATATAATGTATGTCTATCTTGGATTTTATTCTTAAAGTTTAGCAAAATATAGTAAATGTAACCCAGTAGGTCTGCAGTTCGTGTGACTGATATGTCCCTTCATCAGTTAAAAAAGTTAAGAAGCCTTTTAACTAGTAACTAGAAGACTTATGCGATAGTATTACAATTTGAACTCCTCAGGGCCTTTGCAAAATGCAACTGCTTTGTTTCAGAAGGTTTTATCTGTACAGCAGATCATTCCCGAGGCAAGGCCCAAAGGTTAAAACTGTTCATATAAAGAAGAGAGACAAAACTCCTAATAAAGTCTAATTTTGAAATTCTTGCTTCAGCTGAGTAACATGATCCTGCATAATAGGAGTCATCTGTGACTGTTTGGGAAGTAACTGTAAGTTAGAAGAGATTTTAAAGCTTTGTTCACTACTCAACACTTAAAATTGCAAGTTGTCTTTGTGGTACCAAGCATGTTTACCATACTTGTATTATTAATCTTGCGAACACAAGAAGATTGAAAGCAGTAAGTTCTCCAGTGAAAGTTCAAGCTAATATGAAGGAAGGAAATAGTTAATTAACGCTAACCCTTAGAGCACCTACAAGGAGTATGTGGTGATCAGATCAAGCAAAACTCTTCAAATATTAGTGGAGCAGTAAATTTTGACCACATGACATAAGTCGTGAGACTTCTTTATTTTCTTGTGATCCCAAACAAGCCTAACCGTTACTTTAGACCACAATGTACAACCTCTTTCACATACAAGCTGCACATACAACCTCATATATATGTATATAAATTTATCCAACCCACGTCAAAGAAATAACCAAGCAGTTGTTGACACCATATTAAAGCAACATCTTTCAAGCGCTCATTTTTCCACCTAGCTCCAAATGAAGAATTACAGCACACAGTTACACAACACCAGCTTTAATACTGAACTGGAGATCAGATGCCAAGTTTTCATGGGAAAAGATCCTCCAGAGTAGGCTGATAATCACCTAACAAATCATAAACAAACTAAATCTTCTTATCTACTGTACCTTAATATTTTTGGGGGGAAGGAGAGAGAACCTGTTTAGAATGGCACATCCACATACTCTGAGAGTGAGCTCTCATCACCCACCTTGTCTCAATGAGGTACGCAGTGTATGTTTCTTGCATGTTCATGGCATTCCTCCCAGTCCGTTTTTCAGCTTCCGAAACAGTGATTTCCATTTTTTTTGCCAAACAGTCTTCCATCTTGTTAGAGGAGGAAAATAAAGATTCATGTAACACAAGGCACGAGGGACTAACCCTGCCTCCCCTTCTCTCACACCACATTTGTTCAAATAAGACAGGTCTCTATAGGATAAAGGCTTTGGCAGGGCTTCGTTTTATACCCATGTTCTGTATCACATTTGCAAATGAAAAGAGAAAACCTGCTTTTGGGGAAAGAAAACAAAGTCAACAAACAGACAACTCTGGATACCAAAAGCCATCATGAGCCAGGAAGATACAGAAGAGAGAAATCTTTTTCCTTATAGGTAACAAAGTAACCTTTTTTAAAAACAAACAAACAAATCCCTGCACTTTCTACCCAAACACTTCCCAACTACCGGTGAATTCGTCTTCAGGACACCTGGGACACACGTAACCACCTCTCCCCTTTCACAGGAAACAGAACACATCCGGACCGAGATATTTTTCTTTTACCTCTCAGAGGAGTATCGTTATCTTTTACACGTTGGCGGGCAGAAGTCAGTCAGGACCACACGCCCACCCGGGAAAGACAGAGCTGAATTGTGCAGGGAGGGGGATTTCTTTGTGAAATTAAGGGGAAGGGGGAGTCAAATCGAAAAGATAATAAATAATAGGAAATAAAAATAATAATCTGGCACTAGGGACGAGGGTAGACGGCGCACAAAGCCCTCTAACACCGGCCATAATGGGGCTGGAAAGAGAACCCCACAGCTCAGAGGGTCGGGCTGCACAGCTCTGCCCGGGCTCC